CGCAGGAGGAATACCGTTCGCCGGTTGAATATGTTATGTCGTCGCATAATATGTGTGTATAGTGTTTTTTTGCTTTTTCTTCGCGAGAAAACGGTTATTATAACGGCCGCGGTATTACGGGAGTCGCGGGCCGCGAAAATAAAGTCTTCGGAATATTTTTTTATCGCCGTCGAGACGAGCGCGTCGCGCGGATAACGCGAGGCGCGTACCGGGCGATAAAAAAAAATAAAAACGAATTACAATCGCTTTACGCGCCTATACTATGTGATGGCAAAACAGCGACAACACCAACGTGAAACAACGCGTACACGACGACAATAATAAAAAAAAACAACAACCGTACACTCTGCGCGCGCGGTTCATCGCGCAATCGTTTCGCGTCGTGTCGTTTTCTTCGCGCCCGTTTAACGTTACGCCGACGCCGAAATAATTTTACCGTTTTGACTTGACGGCGAGACCGGCCGCCGGCGTGCGGTCCGGCCCCCGAAACCCCGCCGCCGCCGTTTCGTCGGAAATTCGCGGGCTGCACGCGCACGCGACGTGAGGTTTTCGTTTGCACACGCGAGTGGGCAGTTTCAATCGATATGACATTTTACCTCCGTCGTGTATAGTTGTGCGGTTTATAACAAATCACGCCGTTGTAACATTAGATACGTAAACTCATACCATATGCAGTGGCGTGTGCTGGAAATGTCGATGCGAGGGGACGTAGCAAATGAGAATCGTGAATAAATGATAAAATCATCGTCTCTACCCGACTAGACTAAAAAAAGCCAATTTCGAATCAATACCTCCAGCTCTTCCCCGTAACTCGGCGCTTTAATATACGCATTTCGACATTAGATTACTAATATTGTTTGTATTTTCAAGTCGATGGGGGGAGGGGATATAACCCCTAACATCCCATCCACTGCGCACGCCACTGATTATATGCTTCCGGCTTAACCGTTTGAAACGATCGTTATCGAAATACTGTATTCGTATATTAGTTTGGAATAATACTGAACGCGGACGCTTAGTTTTCTTCATCGTCTTCGGTTTTTATGGTCCTCGAAGGACATTCCTTATCCGTTAATCTCTATCGATGCTGTCCTCTATATTGTTACTCCCCGTGAGCGCTCGTTTGGGTCATCGTTGATCCCGTCCACCCGGTGACCCCTAGGTCTTTTCCCGTTTATTTTCCTTTCCCAAGCTTTCTTCAATATTCCGGTCGACTCCTCTCTATAGTTGCACCTTTCTATTAGTTCTTATTTCGTACACCTCATTTTCTAAAACAGGCCCGTAAATTAGTTTTACTAAAATGTGTTCCGTGGTTTTTTCGCTTTGAAAAAAAAAACTCCGATTGTTTCACGAATTACGTTAAAAAATGTAGATTTTCCGCCTGGCATCGATTTGTTCGGAAAAATCGTCGACAAAATCCGACAAAAAAATCGACGAAAAGAAAAACAAATTTTACTATAACGTCTATTTCTCCGTGTCGAATCGTTTTTCGTTTATAATAATTAGTTTTGTTCAGTATATTATGCAGGGTTCTAAATCTGCTATTACCTCGTATCCTACATGTACATACATATCCTACATATATTAAACTTCTCGCTTACAACGGTGGCACAACCTCCGTGCGAAGTTTGTCAGACTTTTTTACTGTAGTTATGAAAGAAATGTTTACCGAAGAATTTTAAGAAGTTTGCGTTTCCGTGTTTAAAACTAAAGTATAATGATATAATACTGTATCTATTTTCTAAAGTTCGCACGATGTTCTACAATCAAATTGCAAACCCATAGAACGTCTAATTAAAAAATTAAACAAACTAATTTGATGACGTGTACCTAATTGTAATTTGTTATTTCATTCAAGATCATTTTTAATAAATTACCGTAATTATTAAGTAAACAAAATTAGGTGCCCCGTGCAGTGTATTTTCGATCGAATATTTTTTTAATTTTTTTTTCTTAAACGTTTATAATTAATCAAACAAATATTGAATATTTAAAATATTAAAAATGTTGAAAAAAATTTAATTCATTCTTAACTTATAAAAATGTTAATTCGGTAATTCGGTTATTTGTACATACTTGCAATAATGTAATTAGTATTTAATTACTTATAGATTTTTTTTTTTTTTTTATGAGATTTATTTTTTTAAATATTTAATATATTATTTTTTTAATAATATGCAATATTTTAAAGTAGAAAATATAATATTTTATACGTAATATTTACTGGTGAAATTCACGTCGAAAACTCGACTAACCTTTTATCACTTCGACAAAAACACAACAACAAAAAAAATTACTCTAATTCCCGAGCTTCAGCTCATTTGGTCCAGAAAAAGCCGCTATAGAAGTGTACAGTTTTATAATTTATAATATCCTATTCTATTGTTTATAAACTATTCAGTACTAAAGAGTATTCGTTCGAAATGTCAATCAAACACGACACTACAAAAACCGTGTACGGACAGCGGATAAAATATTAAAACCGTTTCAATTTTTTCAAAAAAAAAAAATAAATAAATAAATATTAAGTCCGTTTCGAAATTAGTAATTTTAGCGTTGGGGATTTGAACGAAACTTACATTGCATTGTTAAAATAGTATGATACGGGCGCAATTCAAAAACTGAAACTAAAAAAAAAAAAACACCACATTTTAGTGGGCATTACAAATTCGTGTTTTTTTTTTTTTTCAAGTTACGAGTGACTATACTAACATGTTTTTTTATGCATTATGCCATAAAGGACAAATAGTTTTTTTTTTTTTGAAAATATATACCGTCTATTATGTTTATGGATAACAGGGAAAAAACATATTACATTATTTCGATGCAGGGAAATCTGCGTATAGAAAAAATACCCGCCGGCGACATTCCGTGAAGTTTTTATATTCGTCCGTTTATCGTTTTGTTTTATATTTTATTTTTTTATTTTTTCGACATCAGGAGTCGGGATGAACCAACCGGGACACGGTTTTCGATTACACGCCGTTTCTTCTAGAGGAACTTCCGGACTCGTAATACGAGTTCAAGTAGCTCTAGCTATGGTAAATATGGCGAAGAATATCATATATATATATATGTATATTTGTTTTCCGCCGGAAGCGTGTACGGGAAATCTGCAAATAGTGGGCGACGACGTTGAACTCGAGCATATTTTTTATCATAATAATATTTAAAATAGTAAATGTTTATATTATACGTTTTCCCGGGGAAACATATTATCATTATTATGTTATGAACAAAACAAAAATGTTTCGGAGGTTGTGTAGGATGTACGTACTAAAAAAAAAAATAAAAAGATATATGGACAAATAAATATAGGTGTATGTAAGAAAAACCGAATATCCGGAGCAGAAACGTATTTGGAGGGCGGTAGGGCATTGTTTCCCGGTGACGCATTTAAAGGGAGCGCCACCATATCTTTTGAATTACCGTAAAATATTATTTTTTTATTATTACTGCTGTAGTCCGGAATTATATTCTCATAAAATCCACAAAAAAAACCGTTTAAAAATGTACAAAACCATTTTTTTTTTTATTTATTTATTTATTTTTTTTTTTGATTTTTCAAGAGTTTTTCATAATAAATGGTAATTACCGCGAAAAAACATAGTAAAAACCGGAATATTTACGAAATTTATTATTTTAAATTTTGTTGTTCATTTGTGATTCGGTTAAAATATTCGTAAGGAGTCTTTAAATTGGCACAAATCACTTATATTGGCCTTTTTCTCAGACGTGGTATAATTTCCAAGACACTTTGGCCATTTTCGAACTATTTAAAGACATTTTTATTTTGCGGATTTTTACCTAACTAATTTTTATTCGGCAGATAAACTCTGTGGATAAAATACGTCAAATTCCTCCCTTCCCAGCTTTTCACCTAAAACAGCGGACCACCACCACCAGAGTGATCGTGTGAAGTGTGCCCGTCTGTTTTTTATCTTTTTAAATATTAACAGTAACGTCCTCCACGGGTTACGCCCGTTCACTGCAGGGCCTGAAATAGAGTGTTTTAGAGCACAGAGCGTACAGTAAAATATGTAATGTTTGCGGCTCGAAATTACGCCGTGTATTGTATATATAAAAAAAAAATTGCACAGCAGTGCCCCAGGGTGCCAAACATTGCGTCTCCGACCCGGAGTTTAAACGTTAGTGTTGTGTTTATTTATGTATGATATTTTACGTCCCGTTTCGTTTTAAAAAATTATTATAATACCGTCGGACGACGCGATATTATAGTGCAAGACAATAAAATCGAACAAATAAAACGCGTTTTCTCGTTATGCGTTTATATTTGTTTTACGTGTGTATTTTATATATTTTTTTAATGCATTTTATTATTTTAAATTTATTTTTTTATTTTTTTACGATCGCCGTGTTTATAATGTATACTCTTATTATATAAACTCGGGTGAAGGTACTCCACGCCGAGAATAATCTTAAAATATTCTTAGGGGTAGGATAGTTTTTTTTTTTTTTTTTTTAATTGTGCACGTAATAATATTGGTTCTAGAGGTTGTTTTTTTACGAACTTTTTTTTAATACTATGGAGTGTCCGGATCAATATAAAACTCGAAATGAAATTAACAATATCCCAGTATATTACCTTGTCGCTTGCCATAGGCGTTACTAAGGGGTATCGAGAGGTATCTTAGCTACCCTAGACATTTTTTTTTTTTTTTTGGTAGCAAGAGTATCGTTTTGCTACCCCCAAAAAAAGTCTTAGATTTTAAAAATATATTCGATGTTTATCATTCAAATGTGTTCGAACATAAACTATCTATAATTGTGATTGTGTTCAAAATAATAATATTTTGTGACAAACCCAATACGGACGATTAGTATACGTATTAGAATACGTCGTACTTGCTATCAGCATCATAAAACGTCTAACTAATCGAACGTATTGTGATAGTGTGTTAACTTAACTGATGACTGAATTTTTTGTTTTTTTGTTTCTGTATTATTATTACTCTGTGTTCTGTACCTAAGAATTCATCAACCGCCACAAATTGTGAATTATCAATATAATGGCATAATATTGATACTCAATACAACATACATCGGCAAAGTGGGTTAAATGGTTAATTTTAAGTATCAGAGTAAACTGTGAATTTTGAACTCGTGCTTAAAATTTCAAAATCATAGAATTTTAGAATCACATAAGCAATAAAAGACAAGTTTAGTGAAAATGATTTAAAGATTTTAAACTCAATAAATAACATTTTAGTTAACATGAATCATAATGTATCTGATATTCAGGAAGTTAGTGCAGTATATGGATTTTATGTAAATGAATTGAAGTCTGAAATAATTATTTTCAATGGAATGTTTATCAGTTTGAAAAAAAGAAGTTAACTTTGAAAATAAATTAGAAGCTGGAGTGGTTTCCCTATATTATTAGATGTATTTAAATTATTGTAGATTATACCAATGAACATTTGACGGATGTAAAACGTTGCAATTTTAATATGAATAGAAAAAGCAATATTGTCGAAAAAAAAAAAAAATCAACAACAAATATGACGGGGGAGATTAACCCGCGGAATCGCCGCCGTGTAAGACCGTTTTAGCGTTTAGAGCGTTTAAAACACGACTCCGGCAGCGTACTGAGAAACCGGGTAATTTTTTGAAAAATCCTCGGCGGCTGTACATCGAAATGTCATTATGCCACCGGGTGCGTAGGCGGACGGATTTTGTTTGACGTCGCGTGCGGTGTGGGTACGATACGGAACGCGTAATACGAAAGTGACAGAGTGTTTACTGGGCAAATCTCCGCTGACGGGAAAAATGCTCGTTTATCTTATTGCGTCTCGACGGATCTCTCGTTGCGCTATGATATCATTACGGCGCTCGTCGAAGTGAAATTCCCGTCCCGGCACGTCGCACGAGCCGGAAATCGCGAAGTCGGGATTTATCACGCCCGGTATTTCACCCCCGTTAATGCGCGAGTCGCACCGACGTCGGGCCGTCTACGGCGTCCGTGAAATCGCTACGGCCGCAGTTTCGGTGGTTTGTCGCGATGAAACCGACAGCGGCGTAAACGCGTTTTCGGCCTTCTCGGTCCCCGTGCAAAAGGACCGTAAGACGCGACACGCGATTGTCTAGAAATTTCGGTAGCCGCTCGGTTTCGGGTCGCCCGGAATATTAACCGACGCGGTCGACTTTCGTTGTTTTTCCCCGCCGAACATAACCGACAGCGGGCGATGGGTCTGTTTAACGCGATCCGCGGCGATGATCGATGTATCGCGAGACACGCGTTACCCCGGGGCGTGTTAACTTTTTTCGACATTCGTTTTGTAGAAAATTTTGGAAACAAGCGGCTCTGCAATTCCACGACCGTGTAGTTTTTTTTGTCGCCCCGATTTTCGGGGTTGAAAGTACTGTCTACATTTGATTTTCGAATAGCCACCCGGACGGCCGGACGGAAAACCAAATTTTATTTCGACTACTACTGCTACTCTGTTTATTTATCGACGCAAATCCGAGTCTACCCCCGGAGGTCGAGTCGGTAAGAGTGCGGTGTACTAGGTGCGACTTTGTAGTTATTTATACGGAAACGGACGAAATCTCGAAAGAGAGGGGGGGGGGGGAAACACCGAAACCGGCGTGAACACACGCGCACGGCACGCATAAATCAGAGTGTTACGTTCCGGCGCGATCGCGCGAAATAATAAATGACGCCGTCGCGTCGCGGTGATTTACGTATGACGTCCAAACGCGAATCCGTTACCTATACGTAATATTAAAATATTGATGGGACATACATTTATCATCAGAACACCTGAAATACGAACGATTTGCATTCGTATACACGTACTCGCATGATAATAATAATAATACAGTACTATTCCCTTTGCGTTGCGTTTTTTCCCCGAATGCATATTGCATCGCCATTATTGTGCACCGGGTGCGTGTCGTTCGGCGTGGGGCCGCGCTCGGGATTCGCTCGCCGAGGAGAGCGAGACATCGAATTTAAAAACTGCCTCGTGGCAACGGAATCTCTTGTGCTGCGCGTAAATCGTTCGATTTCAGATACGAAAATATTGAAATTATCCCGTGTGAAGATCACTTAGCGGTGACTCGTCTATTCGTAAACTCGATGAAAAATTCGGCATCGGGAAACGCCATTAGCCGTACGATTTCGACTATGAAAAAATAAAACGCCAACGCCTATTTTTCTAACGACGGACACCCGTGTGGTATTACAAAACCGTGCGTGTTTAACGGGTCGCGTCGTATAGGCGGTTGCGACGAATTTCCCGGAGAGAAAATAAAACCCGCAAACAATAATAATATTTTTACCGGTGTACGGTAAATCAGTTTTCGAAGTACACAGCTGTTGAAAAGTGCCGAGGTACCGCGTCGCAAGCGTTCAATTTAGAAAATGTCTAATTGAGATTGCCGATGTACTTTCGTAACTGTGATAACGGAACATCGTACCGTACGAAAAATAACAATTATTGTGACAATCATGTCGCCGTTGTCGAAACGTGTGCGCGCAGTGGACACGACACGGGCCACACCGAAAACTGTTTTGATCCAATGGAAAACGCTCGTTTGCGCTATGATATCCGAACGCCTACGTCATATCACGAACGCAAGCCGCCGTGTTGTAATTGTTGAACCCTACAAATCCCACGGCGTCATCGTTGCAGCGCGTACAACACGTCACTGTACATTGGTTTCGGATTGAAGCACGTGCATTATAGACGCGTACGGTTCTCGATATTACAATGCCCTTACCCTATACTCGAGCGGCTTTTGTTTCACGCGGCTTACTAATAAGTACACCTTTATCCGTGCATAAATGCCTATTGACCCGCTGGATGTAAATGCATTAGACCGGTTCGTTTATAATAATTTCCGAATTTCCCGAAAGTTATTATCTCCGTGATCGCCTATCGTTGTATCGCAATACCGCCGTTACTACACGAGTGCCAAGTACTGATCACGACAAATCGCGAAAAAATAAATAATTAAAGGCCGAGGCCGCCGCCACTCGAATAGAACAAATTAAAACTGTTCTTTATGATAAAATTCGTTGAAGTTGATACGCTGTAAAGGTCTCAAGACGATAGTCGAGTATTGTACGACAAAAGTATGGCCTTTTGAGCCGCCGTAATACGATTTCCCGTATTTATGTTTCACGTTATTTCTGTTTAACACCGAATCAATTATTATTGTGCGTCTGTGCGCATAATCGTTGCAATTGATAACGAAATACAATAGAGATTCCTGAAATTGTTATGTTCTACTGTCGCGTGTTCCGTCGTTTGAAACGTATCCGCGATTATAACAGTAAAAGAAAAATACTTTATGGTGCGGTGGGGGGAGGGAAATAAGACGACCAATAAAAACGGACCCCGTCTCGCGCGGATTGTCGAAACGGCCCCGGCCCCAAAATGTGTACACATAACGTTGTATAAAAAGGGAAATGGGAAATAGCGGGGGAAAAAAAACCGAAAAGGCATTAGGTTTATAGTGGATAAGCAATACCGGTCGGAAGAATGAGACACGTACACGACGAATAAAATGAAGAATATTCACGTTTTACTGTTATTGGCTTTACGATTAGCATTTCGTGTAAAGTATGTAACGCATTAGCATAACGTACTTCACGCAGCGCGGACTTTGGAATTCGTATTTATACACGTTTGGTCGCTAGAATTCCGTTTTGGTTGGGTCGGTTCAGGTTAGGTATTACGCGTTCGACCCTGTATCCCTGTCCCTCATCGAAATCGAAATGATACACAACGGCGGCCCAGGCGAGAAAAATACGAATTATCGATAAAATGTACCGCGCGCGTGTCGCGAGATAACGGAAAACAATGAACGTTTGTTTTTTGTGTTTTTTTTTTCCCTACTGCCGGACAGAGAATTATAAGTGTATAGTTGACGCGCGTTATCCGAACGGGACGAGGAAAAAAACAACGGCGGCGGTCGCGTTACACGTATTATGCATTAAAACGAAATGGGCTACTGTTCGGTTTCACGACGCTCCGAAAAGATTTTGTTTATCTCTCGTAATACTGCAGTTACCGCGCCCCGTAACCGTATGTAGATATCGACAATAATAAGTATTACCTACGATGCATTCGGTCACGAATATTTGTTTTTTTGTTTTTTTTGTTTTTTTTTTTTTTTTTACCGTACTTTTCGTTCGGGAAGAAAAAAACTGTTATTGTTCAAATGTAAACTGCACGAAAATCTATAAAACAATTAACGGAAACAAAAACAATAAACAACGATTAGGTGTTATAGGTACGAGTTTCTAAATATTTTAAACTTGACGTTACAATAATATTATTGTACACCACAGCCGAATAGAAATACTGGAAAAATCAGTACGAAATTTATGATAAGTCTGACTTGAGGGCGAAACAAAAAGTTGAGTAATGGGGATTTTTTTTTTTTTATATATATAGCGTTTTAAGATCAAAGTTTGATGAAAATCGCAAAAATGTCGGCATTTCAAAACATGTATGGATGCGGATGTAATTTAAATGACTTTATTCGTCTTACATTCCCGACTTCCTACCCGCAACAGTGGCACACCCATCAGCAGTATTGGTTTTTTTCTATATTACGATGCATTTCAACACGGATATACATAAGTTACAATTCTCAAGTATCTTCCTTTCCCACTCATCTAACCCGGAAAGTACTAGGGGATTTACTCTTGCGGTATGGCATAAATACGAAAATTGATTAATCAAAAATCGATTTTCTTTTCTATAGGTACAGTGTATATATGTATAATTTATCTTTTGTACATTTTTTGATGAATGCGATATTTTGTTTTTAAATTAAACTCAAAAACTGACATATTTACCATACTTTTGGTATTTCTCAACTTCTTTGTGGCACGTGAAGGGGTTGAGTAATCATGACCAAATTTAACGTGAATTACTTTCTTATAGTAATGAATAATGTTGGGTGGATAAGAAATCGAAAATTCAAAAGTTCAAAAACAAGGACCACCTTACAAGGTATACGTTTACGATCGGACAAAATGCAATGCCTCGCTCCTCGGCACGATCCTAAATACTGCGGCACCGATTTATTTATCTATGTTTTAGGGAAAAAAATAAAAAACGGCCGTGTTTATGGGCAGAAGCGACACGGGGCAGTTGCCCGGGCGGTATTGATTTTCGCCAAGATCCGTTTCCCAATCGACCTTGTTGATCTTTTTTTTTTTTTTTTCGCGAATCGCGCTGTTAAACGAGAGCGTGGGGCGGTGATAAAAGGGGGCGTAGAACGAAAGAGGTATCGGGAACCGCCGGCCGTCCGCGACAATATAATAGGCTAAGTTCATCCGCGCTGTGCAGCAGTACGTTCGGGTACGCGGTAGACAATAATTCCGGCGACAACAACGACGCTGTTATGACAACGAAATAACGGTACGCCATAACGAACTAAATACCATTATTGTAACATTATAAACTTACCGAGCCGCGGAGAAATACGATAACGCTGCCGGGCGGTATAAACCGGAAGGGACGGTCGGCGCAAACAATGCGGCGGTTATTGTCGTCGGTAGGCGTGCGCCGCGGTCTAACGGCAAGGCGGCGCGCGTTTTTACGCGGGCCGGACGGATGCTCGTTCGTCCGGAAACAAAACGCCGGATTTCTGAAACCACAACAAAAATCATAACTAAGACCATAATACGCCGGTGTGTAACAATGCCATTATTATTGTACAATTAATATCGGTACCGCGTTCGGTACAATATTGTTGTTATCGTTATGACGATACGTTGTGCCGTACGGTTATCTCGAACGGCTCCGGTCTCGCGCGTACGTCGTCGGTGACGTATTTACGACTTAACTCTGTTGGGGGGGGGAGAGGCGTGAAAATGTTATTGCGTTGCGTATTTCGTATAAACTATATGCACGCGTACAGTCAAATTATAAAACGAAACCGAACTTTCGGTTGTTATTCGGTAAATCATCACTCCATCGGTCTCAAAAAAAAAAAAAAAAATACATTTTATAAAGTAATCTGCATTTATAATACACTTAAAAACGGTGTCGTAGCAGTGCGTGCTTCCAATTATCGAATATGCGTTTTACTAAAACCCCGAGATTTCGGTAATCGATACCAGCAGCAGATTTAGCATAACCAACACGTGCTTTACAAAAAGCACCACCTTCCTTTGCCGCGTAAGCTAACCAAGGCCAACGTGATAGCCAATTAAATTTAAATCTACTTGGCTGGCCTTTTTTCCAAAGATCAGTTAGAATTTCATTTATTTCATTTGATGTTGAATTTCTCGGAGTAAAACCAGCTACGCCTTTTGCATTTATATTGTTAATAACGGGCGTGACAAGAGCATTTGAAGTCACAGAGGAAATTGACGTTACACCAGTTGACAAGGGAGGTAAAGATAAATCGCGTGCGTTCATTTCCTATCAATAAATGAATTACTCGTGAAACAAGTCGTATGAAAAGGACGTGACGGTTTCGAAATGAAAACAAAAAAAAAAAAATCCTCGGGCGAATGGGAACCACCAGCACCCCCGCCCACCCGTAAATACACGCCGCTGTGCGTCATAATATGACAACAATATTACTGCAGGTACGACTCGTCTGTATGTAATATTTAAACCGTAATTCGCGCGGCGAAGTTGATATCGTTGTATAGCCGGTAGGTGAACGCATAAAGCCTACTAACAATATACAATCTTACGTATACAGGGCGTTACATTTCAACGGGTACGCCAGTGGCGCCGAACCACGTTTTAAGAAGATACGGGCGGGTGAAAAGTCGCTGACACCACCGTCAACCTCGTTTGCGAAACCAACTCCCACACACAACACTCTTAGTATTTATGTCACATACGTACCGATTCGATAAAAAAAAATTATAACTCAGGTACCCGCCACGGATCCACCACCGCCCGCCCATTAAAAGAGTGTCGGCGATCGTCATCCCGGGACCGCCGATTTCGGCGCCACTGGCGATACGCCCGTTACCTCGATGACTTTTTCCGGAATTTTTTTTTTTAAACACTGAGCCGTACGTTTTCACATTTATGTTATTTTTCATCGCCTTTATTTTCGGCGGTAAAACCATCACTGCCTACTTTCGATTTTGAAATGACAACCTGTGGTATATATTTGGGATATAACAGTTAAAATAAAATGTTGGTGTCGAAATGTTCGATTACCGTCGATTCGTCGACGAGATATTCCACTTTTGAATGGGGGTTGAGAGAAAATCAATGTTGAAATTGATTTTAATTAATATACGTTCCGTCCGTTGATAGAAATTTTCACACGGGTTGCCGTCCGAGTATCAAAAGTATAGGTAGCGATTTTATCCCCGAAAATAAGGATGACGAAAAATAACGTAGATGCAAAACGGTGGCGCTGCGTGTTTCTTAAATGTCCTTCGAAACGAATTCCGAAAAAAGTTAATACTTTCCGAGATCATTGTTCGCGATCGTTTGCAATATCGCTTTTGAGACGCGATTAATATCGCGAGAAGTTACTAACAAATTACTACGACGGCGGCGTCAGGTGAACACCCGAAATGCGCATAAAACACCCGACTGCGGATGACGCGTCTTAAACTTGAAATAACGAAATAAACGGGCCTCCCCTCTCGGTGTACTGCGGAATGTCCGTATTATTTTGTTCGTTTTGTTTTCACGTTCGTAATAATATCGGGCGCGATAACTTTCCGTTAGCAATTATTATTATTATTTTTTTTTTTTTCGTTATTATTCGAATACGGTCGTTTTCGTAAAACTTTTACGAAACTAAAAATAAGAAAAATGAAAAAAAAAAAACGCGTTCGCCGCAGGTAGTTACGATTTTTGATAATAATACGGTTATGGCGGAATGCGCGCTTTCGATAATGAACGATATTAACGCAATATTGTATAATGTCGGAAATGTCGGATGTCGTTCCGATAAATTATTATTATTGTTATTGTTACTGTAAGTTGCGCGCACAAAGAAGTTCGAAAGTGCAAACGAACGCGGGAGATAAGAACGCAATTTATATTTTATTCGTTTTTCGCCGCACCGCCTGGCTCGCGACTAGGCGTCAGAACGTTACACCGTAGCAGTTTTCTAGTTAGTTTAAAGGGTTCCGGCGCAGTTAATTCGGCCGAGACGCACGGAGAAGTTTAACGGCAGCCGCTAGAAGCCATGTAAAACATTCTGAAGACATTTTTTTCCGCGTTACTTTGTCGGAACGCTCACGCGGATAAACGGCAAACTATATTCGGCTGTATACGACTGTATTGTTATCTATACGAGTGCGTGTACGGAAAACGATTTTTCGGGCAATAATCGATACGACGATGAAATTAATTAGAATCAAGTCTCACGGCCTATAACGGCCGTGTAAAAACTGTCAGTAAAATAATTTATGAAAAATATCGCGACACCGATTTAATGTTTCGCTGAATTTGTATCTGCCAATTATATATCGTAACAGATGCCGGAACATAAAAAGTCCTATAACGAAAATTAGTTGACAAATTTAAAAAAAAACGATTACGTTTTAATCGATCGCTTTTTTTTCTCTTCGCGCCTGCAAATACAACTGCAGATATGTCTGATGAAGAATACGTAGTTTTAGAAATATTTGTAAGACCTCCAAAACCTAGAGTGATTCGTGACAGGGTTAATCCTTTGCACAATTTTGACGATTATGAATTTAAATGTTAGTTCGTTAACCAGTATTCTGGTATCAACCTGAATATAAAACCACGATTTAACAATACTTGTAAATTTAACACGTATTAGAAATTTAATTTGTCAACCGTTGGTTTATCATTAAGTATACAAATATTTAACACTAGATTTATGAACAGATAACAGCAAGTTTAACCGGGCCCTAATATAATAAGTAATCAATTTTAGAGTCCAACATAAAGCGTAATTGTTTTTCGCACTGCTCCAGTAAAATTTAATCGATTGGTTTTCGTAAAAGCGATGGTTTGAATTTTTAAACTCGTCGTTTAAGGTTTGGACATTTTTTAAGAAAGTTTCTGGCTGTTTTTAGAGTATGTTTCACGAGTTTAAACATTATGTCTTAACACTTCCCGCTCGTGTAATATTTTAATGTAGCGTGCAAATCCGAATGAGAAAATTGTTCAGTCAAAACATAAAAAAATTTTTCCCTTCCGTTTTTTTTTTTCTACGAACGAATATTTTGTTATTCAATAAAAATACGACTGTTGTAACGGTCGCACACAGAAATGCCGTCGAGAGCTAAACTGCAAAAAATGCGCTGTGCATTCGCCGTTGCTGTAAATATTATGCTCGGGACTTAATATTATAACCTACGGTGGTTTATATCCGGGATACGGTAAGTACGTATGTGCAAAGGAATACCGTGTGAAGTACGGTGTGCGCTGGCCTTTTTTGTAGTGGGATCATTAGTCTTCGCTCTTCATAATAAACACACACTCGAGAGAAAGAGAGATAGATAGATAGATAGAGAGAGAGAGAGAGAAATGTATATTTTATTATCTCGATTAATGGCTACACCATGCGGACGTTTTGTTAAATTACTGTACAGGGTCGAACGATACGGTAATAAATAGCAGTATTATCAAGATATTATGCACAGTATATATATTGTTTTCAGTATGTCCTACGAAGGTATACCATTGTAATATCTCCGGAGATAATAAAGATAATCCAATTCTGTTTATTTTTTTTTTTTTTTTAATTACTCACAGGGATAAGAACTACAAATATTTATAATTCGATTAATTTGTTATGTTTCGTAAAAAACTTCAAGCGATTCGAAGTTAGCCGTTTTATAGAGTTTATTCTGCTGAACATTTTGACATATCAACTTTTTATTTTAATTGAATTCGTGATTTTTAATAATATTTTAAAGTTCCTCGGAAAAAAAGTGCACAGTCAGTAAGCCATAATAATAATAGTATTCAATTAGCGAATGCGATTACAGTCTGCTGCATAATTATTATAGGAACTTTTCTCTGAACTTTGAACAATTATTAAAAATCACGAATTTAATGAAAATAAAAAGTTGAAACGTCAAAATTTCCAAACGAATAAACTCTATAATAGGGCTATCTTTAAGTTCTTCAAAAATACTAAAATAAGTTATTTTTGTTGTTTTACCAATAGTTTTACGAATAGTACATAAAGAAAAAAAAAACCGTGTTTAATTATCTTTATTATCTCCGGAGATATGGAGACGGGTATATTTTCGTGAGACACCCAGTATGTGTTATGTACAATATGCATTTACTTTCAAACGCGTCCGTAGGTGTTTACATTTCTTATTGGCGGGCGCAGAAAGAAAAACAAAGTTGAAAAAGGAACCTCGTGTAAAACCGTCCGGCATTTATAGGATGTCGAAAGCAACTTTACCGAAAAAATGTAGCTATAAATAAGTAAACAAAAAAAAAAAAAAAGTCAAAATATTTCCAAAAACCGGCCGCGTCTAGAAAATGCTATCTAATGTTGTACGGGTATAACCGGCGAAAATGTTACGTGTATGTACGATCATTTTTCGCCGAGTACCTACTGCAGCTAACACGAAAATAACCGCCCTTGATGTCGATGATCGGAGCAAGTCTCTCGCGGGTCTTTAGACCGAAAACTTATTTACAGAAAGGGGGGGAAAAAAAAGCAGCACACGTCATAATGCGGCAAAACCAAACTAGCTCCGTTCAGAAACCTGAACACAAAAGAGAAAATGCCGTACAAAACGCTCGGCCACACAGGAAGGTTTTGTCCGCGGTCTACCACTCTATATTATAAAGCTTTTTATATATAATATGAACGTCTTGAGTTATTTGAAATTTCAAAAGGCGGTAATAATATTATTATTTTGCCTCTACGCGACAGTAAACATATATTGTATTCTGGTGAAGAACTGCATGGAAATAATGCGTACGCGAGGCCTCGACTCGTCTCTGCAAAGTGGGTATCCGTCCGCGTTCAATTACACACGTCATCTCGACAAAGTTACCGCACGAAACTTTGCACGCACGGCGCTGTGTGCCAAACAAAACTTTTGTTTCAGCACTCGAAACCCCCCTCCCCCAACAACCCGACTAGTTATCTGACGACGACGTGAAAAACAATAAAAAAAAAAAAATACGAGCAGAACCGTCGTGTAACCGATATAAGTAGGTGGGTACCTACCGTATATTGTTTCCGCAGAGACTGTGGCACGGTGCAGTTAAATGCCAGTAATAACCCGCGATTACTATTAAGAGTTTTTCGAATTGCATGCGCGTATTATCGTAGCTGTAAAACAATAATTTTCATCAAACGATTTTTCGTTTGAACCGAGATTTTCGTAATTTGCTAATAAACCTGTTTTTACCGATCGGAAACCGACATGCCGAGTTTACGTAGCGCCGGCACTTTGTCCGAATCACACGAAACTATAGTAAATATTAGAATACGATATGCTGTAATTTCATGCTGGCTTGAAGAATGGACAGCAACAACCTTCCCTCTTTCGGATAGAAAAATTATCATTTAAACTTCCCGCTAACAATAAGGTGTCGAACGGAAAAAAGTTGCATCAAAAATATGTTAAGTAGTTCTGGAGATTTTCACAATCATGCAAACAGCCGGCGGAGGAGGCGGTTGAAGGTTGAAACCTACTTAAGGCATACACATCTCGGTACAATAACACTATTTATTCAGACAAATATTAACGCTGTAACTTTACTTTGACAGGTCTGAAGGGACATTTAAAATCCGATATTTCCTGTCGAAATATTAAATTTAGGAATGCAAATGATAAGGGGGGGGGGGGTTGAAAGTTGAAATCTCCAAAAGACACGTCTTCGATACTTACGTCATGCGTACACACAATTTCCTCTCACTGGTTTTATTTGGATGGTATCAAACGTAAACCGAGCTAGAAAATACCCTCCTCTCGCAAAAATACGGTAAAGTTTACACGGCGTAATTTACATCAACTCTTCTGTCACATCAATCCGCCTGTAAATCCCGTGTTTGGGACTACGTTGGGAAAAATTCGCCAAAACAAAAACCGCGCACATTATAGTAAAACCAATACGTTTTTCGCTACTCCCGAGATGAAAAACGTAAAAACAAAAACGGAGTAAACTGTAAAACAACTATAATCGAAGGCGACAATATAAGCCATCAAAGACGTTCGCTTGACATTATTATTATTATTTAGGGGGTTGGGGAACAGTTAACCAAATTATATCGAATTTTGTAAAGTTTGGAAACCAATCTTTTCACGACCCCCAATAATTATAGGACTTTTCTACTAATCTACTGCCCGTCGTCCAATCAAGGGAGAGTAGGTAATACCGGCTTTACGGGCGAATATGACGTTTTAGACCGAAAAATGAGATAAACCGTTGGAATTGCGAGTGACGGATTTATTTTTGAAAACGTTCCATGATTATGTAAGTCCTTCACTGAGACACGTCGGACTCGTTTTAGACACGGAGCACAGCGACGGTTCTATAGGTTTTTACTATGCGTGTGCGTGTGTGTTATTTTTTTTTTTCGTGTCTGTGAGCACATTTTTACCACAAATTTCGCATCAGTCTATCAAGTGGTGTAACACCTTTTTCCGAAAGGAAATTTAACTTGGCCGGTGCATTGCATATGCTGATTTGTATTCGTCTCGTTTTCGCTCATTTTATATTATGTACTACGGCGACGTCGTGCGGGCGGGTGATGATAAACCGAGAAAACGATCCGAGCCGGACGCTCGCAATATCAAAATTTATTTTTTTTAATAAACTATTGTGTTGCTTTATGCGGTCGCTTAGGCATCAGCTTTGTCCCCAAACCGCGGCGGCAACAATATAATATTAGAGTAAAAAGGAAAAAAATGTAGTTTCGGGAACGACGACGCTTGAACTCGGCGCAAAGTATCTCCGCACTAACATATTATTATTATTTCGGAGACAGAAAACCGTATTCATATCGTACGGGCCGATCTTTCGAACGGTCTCGGGGACGCGTATTTTCACATTATTTTGAAGGCCGAAAACCCCCGAAAGAGATACCACGGCTGTAGTGTTGAGCGCGGTTGAGTTTTACGCTCGATACATTCATCTTGATTGGTACATTTGTGTTTGTATTTTCGTCTGATCAAGATACGGGAGAAATGGGTTATCAGAGCCGCCGCTGTTCAAGACAAATAATACGCGTGATTAGCGTGACGTCGTGTTATCCGATAGAAATCCTTATCGGGTACGATTTGGGGATCCAAGCAAATAAAAATGTACACGCAAAGTAACTTTGAAATGATTATTATCAACATTTTAAGTGCTTGTATACTTATTTGATTCCAGAAAATCTCATTTGAATATCTCTTGTTTAATAACAGTCGAATCATAGTACGTAAATACTTGCGTTTTATTATAACGCGAGTGTTCAAAAATATACCACGTGTGTTTTTTATCGTGCGATTAAATTATTTGGACCCGAACAATCAAATTATCACTGATAACAGTCTAATAAGAAGTGCATGACGCAAGAATGATAATAATAATAATAATAATAATAATACAATAATACGTAATAACAGTGTAAAGAAATTTCACCTATATAATATTAGTTTTTTTTCATACTTTATCTTATCTAGACGAAAAAGCGTATGATATTTATCCGGAGGTTATCTCGAAGAAAATATAACTGACGAAAAAAAAAAAATTCCTTTATTCCCATAGTAGAAAATATCAAACGGTTTTCGCTTCATGTTAAACATTCGATAGACGGCCGTTTACATTTTTACGGAATCGTTTTAATCGTTAGAACGTTTATCTTCCAGCTTCGATAATTTTCTCGATTATAGACAATTTAAAAACGAAACAATTTTTTCACGATAACTCGAGCATTCATTTCCTATATCTATTAACGATTTCGGAACAATCGCTGTCGTTTAATTCGATCTCGACTTGTCTGCGTTCAATAGATTAATTTTTTTTTTTTTTTTTTATATAAAACAACACATCTCACTGTCTCGGCTCAAAATCTCAAATTCCGCGCAACAGTAAACAGGCGATAATTTCCTCAGCACCGCGCAATTAGAATTCACAGCCGTAAACCCGTACCGCAATAATCGGCAATTATAATGACTGAGCGTGGATTATCGCGCGAATAACGATTTATTACGTTGCGGTTCAGGCCGTACCCGCCGCCGTTCCGGAAACCGCACCTATTGTCGGTACAATAATATACGTGTCTGAAAATCGGAGTCCATTTAACTCGATTACTATTTGGGTAACGGGGACGGTTTTGTTAACCTCTGCGCCTTTGCGTATTGGCTTTTCAATGGGAATTAGGGGAGAAGGACCGCGCGTAATTCGATCAATGCGCGTAAGTACCGCGGATAGACTGCGGAACGCGAACGTGTTACCTACGGTTTTTAGAGTTATCGCGCATATCAGCCGAGTGTTTAATTGGCCAGTGTATAACATTTATTTGCCCGTGCATTCGACAATGCATTATCGTATTGTATTTTCGTTAAAGCGAAGCGTACAAAACGTGTACGACGGGCGAGTACGACGCGACCGTTCGCTTTTGTCTCGGCACCTTTGACCGGGATGCGTAAAATGTTTGCCCGTACTGCCCGCTTGTATGACCAGTCGAAACCCCCGTGTCGTGCGAAAAACACTAATCCTTCCGAACGATATCGATATGTAGCTACGAGCGCTGTTCGAACCGGGAAAAAAAAAATAAAAGAAGACGGACGATAAAGACTTAAACAAATTAACCAATTTGATTTTTCAAATTATTTGATCGGTTTCGGCTAACCCCGGAATTTCTCCAGGAGCCCTAATGTTAAACACAAACGTATTTTTTTTTTTTTTTAATGTTCGGAATTGACTTTCGCTTATTTTTTTCGGCGTGTCATAAAAATCCAGCAAACTTCCGTTTGTGTCGTGTTACGATGAGTTAAAATATAAAACACGAAAGTGTTAGATTCGCAGCGCAGTGATCGGTGAGTATTGTGTCATTATTATTATTATTATACTTTTTTTTTTCGGTCTGCAAATTTGTTTTTGAAAATAAATCTTGCACCGATGTACGTTTTTTTTAGAGATGACCGTCAGCCGAAGTTTTTACTGTATTTTATTGTAGAAAATATGAAATGTAAAAATCAGTTTTGACTGCGGGCGGCAAGGAGCAACAAAATGTGAAGAGTCGGAAAGGACGGCCGAGCCGGTCGATAAATGATTTTGGGTACCAGGGGTGCACGCGCGGAACGACGGCGCTCCGCCGCGGTGGAAACGCTGTCGATTGGCGTAGGGAGGGGGGGGGGGCACGACTAATCGGATTCGACGGGTGACCGAGGGAGCCGCTGCACGCCGCGGCGGCGCGTCGACGTCGTTCCACAACATGAACTCCTGGTACCCAAAATCATTTTTCAGCCTGCCAGGTTGTCCGTTCCGACTCTACATTTTGTTTTTTTTTTCCCGCTCGTAGTCGATATCAACTTTTGACGATTTACGTTTTCTACTAGAAATATAATTCTAATCGAAAAACGCAAGAGAACTTTTTCGTTTGTTTTCGATTCTAGTCAATGGTTTCAATTGTTATTTCTATTTTTTTTTTTTTTTTTTTAATTCAACGTAGTTTTTTTTTCGGTAAATAATTTAATAATAATATTATTATTAATTATAATAATAATTTTCGGTAAGTAATGCGTAATGTAATCTTTTAAAATTCTAATCGAGATTTCTGGTGGATGTTCGCAGACAAAAACAATTACATAAGATGAGAAGAGTCAAAGTAGGCTGTCAGGGTAGTTTTACGAATGAATGTGGATCGAAGGATGGGGAAAATAAAACCGAATAGGAGATAGTTAGACGCGATTGAGAGCGGTACGAGGACTGCTAGAGCGTGTGCAGATGATGTGGGAGACCGATTGTCAAGTGGTGATCGTAAGGCCGGGGGACCCGACCCCGAATGGGCGGGAGAAGTGGCGAGGGAGAAGAAGTAACGAATGTAAAGAAGTAAGTTCGCTGAGAAACGTGGTTGGGCGACGGAACTACAATCGGTAAACGTCGAACGCATAACGCGAACAACGACAACAATTAAACGCATCACAACAGATGCCTAACGAAAACGATGTTTTTTTTTTTTTTTTTTTTTTGCAGCGTTGTCCCCCGTTGTCGTGTCCGAATGCGTTCCATGCTTTCCGCGCGCACCGCCGATATAATGTCCGTTCGGCTACGACACACGGTCTGTGCCGGTCCCACAGCGAGTCCCGCGAGCGGCGGCCACCGTATTAACGTACACTCGGTACATTCGATATTAATGGATTTTGTATTCGGCTGCCGATTCGCGATTCGCCGCGGAAAATCAACAGACCGCTACAGGCGACGGCCTTTCATGTTCGGTTGCCGTGGAAAATCAACAAAACGTCACGGACGACGGATTCGATACTCTAGGCGTACTACACAACGCACGCGCGCATAGTGTAAAAGTTTTTTTTTTTTTTTTTTTTTATCTTCTTCTCCTTGTGATGTACGTTCTGATCGACGACTACGACTGACGTTTTGCGTCCGTCGCGTTCATACAACACGTATAGCCGGCACGCGCGTACGTACAGCAGCCGCGCCCGAAAATGGACAATCCGATCGAGGTACAGGATCTGGAACTGGAATCGCTGATCGGGTTCGACGGCCGCCCGTCCAACGGACTCTGGGTGCACCCGGACGGGGTGCACTTGATCTACCCGCTCGGGACCAACATCACGGTGTACGACTGGTGCACGAAGAAGCAACGGTTTCTCGAGGGTCTCACCAACGTCGTGTCGTCCATCGCCGTGTCGAAGACCGGCAAGTACGTGGGCGCCGGCCAAGTGACGTCCATGGGCTTCAGGAGTCCGATAATCGTGTGGGCGTTCGAAACGGGCCAGATCGTGACGAAATACGAGGCGCACAACGTGCGCGTCGAGACCGTGTCGTTCTCCTGCTGCGAGACTTACATGATATCCCTGGGCGGACTGGACGACGGCTCCGTCCTGGTGTACGACATCGAAAAGAAGGAGGTGCTGGCCACCGCGTCGTCGGTCAAGTCCACCGCCGGCGTGTCGACGGTACTCACGCCGGCCCGGTTGCGCGGCCACTCGTTTGTCGTGGCGGGCGATAACATTTTGCGACTGTGGACGGTCGTCAAGGAGCAACGGCGCGTGGAGGGGCTGGACGTTTCGTTCGCCAAGATCAAACGCAAAATCCTGTGCGTCGAAATCGACGACGCGGACACGCACGCCTATTGCGGCACGAGCACGGGGGACATGATAAAGTTGATGTTCAACTTCTCGCCGGACGCCGACGTCCCGCTGAAGGCGCCCACGGTGGTCGGGTGCTACGCGAAGTACCCGGCGGCCGTCAAGAACAAAAAGAAGTGCTGCGGCCGCGCCGCGTCCGGTCACATACAGCTGTACAGCAACGGCATAACATCGCTGCACCTGTTGGCCGACGGCACCATTATCGTGGGCACGGGCGCCGGGATCGTCGAACTGGTGTCGCTGAAAGCTCGGCCCGGCAAACCCGTCTGCGCGGAATCGTTAGGGGCCGGTCATTATTTGGTGGCGCCCACTAGTCCGCTGATCGATCCCCTGTTGACCACCGTCGTCCATTCGTCCGTGACCAGCATAAACGTGATAAACGGCGTCGTGCTGGTGGGCACGGTCAACTGCGAGCTGTTCACGGTCAAACTGTCCGATTTCACCACGGCCCGCATGTTCACGTGCCACACGTCCGGCATCCACGACCTGGTGTTCCCGCACGACTACAGCCTAGTGTTCGCGACGGCCAGCAAGAACGACGTGCGCGTCTGGTCGGTGAAAACGCTGCAGGAACTGCTCCGGATCACCGTCAACAACACCTCGTGTTCCGGCGTGCTGTTCTCGTACGACGGGACCCGGATCGTCACGTCGTGGAGCGACGGCAAGATCCGGACGTTCACGCCGGAGCACGGGCGTCTGTTGTACACCATACACAACTGTCACAACAACGGCGTGTCCGCGATCGCCATCACCCGGGACGGGAAAAAGTTGATAAGCGGCGGCGGCGACGGCCAGGTGCGCATCTGGTGGGTGGACCAGCTTGCCGACAACCTGTTGGCCGTGCTCAAGGAGCACAAGGGCCCGGTCAATTCGATCTGCGTGCACGAAAACGACCTGCAGGCGGTCACGGCCAGTACGGACGGCACGTGCGTTATCTGGGACATTGTCCGGTACGTCAGGTTGTCGGTGATGTTTTCGACCACCGTGTTCACCGGCGTCAAGTACCATCCGAACAAGGTACAGCTACTGACGTGCGGCACCAACCGGTTCATCGGTTACTGGGAGTCGATCGACGGGTCTTTGGTCCACGAGGTCGAAGGCTCTTCGTCGTCCGCCCTCAACGCGCTGGACTTGACACCCGCAGGTCCGTACCGCGTCGACGTACACGAGAAAACAGCGCGCCAGAATAACGCCGTCACGCGCGCGCGCGCGCGCGAACCGTCGGTTAACCATTTCGTTCCCGAAATTAAAAAACCGAAAAAACCGAATTTCTCTTCGTTTCAATGAGCCGACACCGTCTGCGTCGGCTATTGGCTATCGACACGCGGTGAACGCGACGACGTGTTGAAACGGTGATGGGAGGGGGGACGATCCGTTAGTCCGCCGGGCCCGCTACATTTTTCCCAGTCGCGCGCGGGCGCCACCGCGGGAGCGAAACGGTTAACGGGTTCGACCGTAAAACCCCGCGTGGCTCGGCAGCCGGTGAGTGACGCGGCGACGTCCGATCGTATACGTGTGCGCTTTCTCCGCAGGTAACTATTTCGTGACCGGGAGCGCGGACCTGCTGGTGAAAGTGTGGCATTACAAAGAAGGCGTACCCACGCACGTCGGGGTGGGTCACGCGGGCGTCTTGACCAACGTGAAGGTGAGCCCGGACTGCCGGTTGGTGGTGAGCACGAGCGTGGACGGCGGCATATTTCTGTGGCGATTCCCGTTCGACCCGGACATCGACCCGCCCCGGGACGGCGGGGAAGCCGTTGTGAAGGGCGTCCCGAGCAGGTGCAGTCAGCGCGAACAGCAGACGGAACGGTCGAGGCAGCTGTCGCAGAAGAAAAAGCTGCCGGTCAAGGCGGAGAACATCAAGAAGATATCGAAAACGCAAAAAGTCAACGTGAACCTAGACGCCGGGGTCGGCGGGGCGGACGCCAAAACGGCAAACGTCACTAAGAAACCGGGTACCAAAGATGCGGGCACGGGCGACAAAATCAGGGTGTGCAAATAGCCGCGATTTGAAAGTGTCGTGTTACGCGTTGCTTGTGTGTTCCGATAACTCGGGGAAAAAAAAAAAAAACGAAAACAAATACAAACGTTTACGTTAAACTCGGCGTTCGCTCCTACGTTTGACTTGCGGGTTATCCGTACACGAGTTATATAATTACGCACCATCGTTTTTTTTTTTTTTTTTATCAAGTACGCACGGCTCAATACAGCACAGCTACAGCAACAGCCACGGCCTTCTTCCGTTCGGGAGCGATTTCGAACCGACTTATTTAATTCGATCGACGGGAAACGAGTTGACGCACTTAACCGCAGAACTCCCGCGGGAGAATAGTATACGTTTGTCGGCGAGACAAGTGCTGAGCAACGAATGAGCTTGTAAGTCGTGAGTATACGCACCAGTCGTGTAGGAGCAACGGCCGGTGTCGGTCGTATATTACCAGTGGCGCGATACACTGGCCGAGCGCACCGGTCGCATCCAAATCGGTAAATCGGGTCCGCCGTACGTGTAAAACGTGAACGATCCGAAAGTGGAAAAAAAAGGTCCGGAGAGAGTAAATGAGACCGATGACAGTACATAAAGAAAACGCGAACATGATTATCTCGTGTTACCCGCGGGACGTGTTTTAAAGGTGCCCCGTGTTGAATCCACGCGCGATATTTAAAAAAGCCAACAACGGTCCGGACACATTTCAGCCGGGCACGCTCCGTTTACTTCGGGAACGACTGTGCCGGACGCGTCGATACAGCGCGCGAAAAACCGCCTGAAGTCCGTCCGACGCGAACCCGCGCGGGGCCGACGGGCCGAGGTCGGCGCCGAACCGGACAGCCGGGGTTAGGTTGAGAACGGTTTCGGAAACCGCCCGGGGCCTTGTCGCTGGGGCAACGCGCCGCGGCAGCGTGCCGGCGGTAAGCAAATTGTTACGGAAAGTATGCCGCGCGGTGCACGCGACGTTTGTCGACGGGGACGTGCGCGACGGGAAAGTATTACGCGGACAAGGGCGTTGCGAGTTGTAAGGCGACGACTGCAGTGGGTATAAAAATAATAACGCAAACGATAACGATAATAACGCAAACGATAACAACGATAACGGCGATAATAACGGATATTTACGGTCTTGTCGAATCGATAAAACAACGCGCCGGGTGTACGGGACCCCCGGAGTCTCGCGTTGATTAAAAACAAAACCGGGAACGTTACGGCGATATCGCGGAATGAGAAAAAAAAAAACAATACGCGCTGAAAGATTATTTGTAAACGCGCGAGGTTTTAGATTCCGAGTGTAGCGAGTGTGAACGCATTGGTTTTACAAAGATGTTTTGTTTGTTTATTTATTTATACGAACACTTTTTCTACCAATAAGCTTACTCCGGTGTATACACACGACGCAGATCTCTATTTCTGAAAGGAATTATTTTTTATTTTTTTTTTTTTGGGGGGGGGAGGGGAGGGGGTGGTGAACTATCGATTTTCTCATCAAATGTGAAAAACCGGGAAAAACGGAGGAAAACTTACACGAACATGTTATATTAGTAAAATTAGTATTACGATTCTCTTCTTCTGTCGACAACTTTTTTACCCGCAATTTCGCTCCTATTTACAATGATAGCACAGTTCTTATGAAAGGAAATCTGATTGGAAAAGTACTTTGGAGAGGTTATTTTTCGGTTTTCTCGTCAAATGTGAAAGACCGAAAAAAAAAACTTGGGAAAAACGGGAAAATCGTCCGTGGTTCGTACGCGTAACTATGATTGCGCGAAACCGATTCCGGTCGTCTCGATTATTTTTTTTCGCCGACTCGTCTACGTATTTATTGTTATTATTATTTTTTTTTTTTTTTGTGATTTTGCCCTAAGTGTTTCCAGCGTCCCCGCACTCGCCACCGTGAACGCCTACGCCGTTGTCGTCCGCGCAGTACGAAATCCGCGCGGTCGTGTGACCACCGAGACCGCGTACGGACGTCGTTATCATGCGCGGGCGCACGACAGTTACGCGCGGGAACGCTCGGGGAGGAGGGGGGGGGGGGGGTTCCCAGACCCTCGGGGGGCCCTTACCGTCCCTGCGACGCTCCTCGCGCTCCCCGCGTAAGTCTGCCCGGACAAGACGCGCGGCGCGGCCGCGTTTCCGGAACGGGGCGCGTACGACAGTGACGCGACACCGGCAACCGGGCGCGCGGAGATTTCCCCGGGGGCCCGTTTCGGACGACAATCGAAATCCGTCGGGCGGGCCGCGCGCGGTGTACACAACCGTCTCCCCGCGGACGTGTTCGCCGCGTCTCAACATCCGCGGCAACGCGGCGATTGGCTACACATTCGCGGTGCGCGCGGGCACGCCCGCGTCCCGTAAACAACCGGCCGACTTTTCGGGGCCCGCGTGGCCGTTTACGGTGTCGCAGGGTCTCCGTTCGGAAAGACGGGCGAAACACTCGCGGCGAAGTGCGCGCACAACGCCCGGTTACGGCGACCGGACATTTCAGATTTCCGATTGAACAGTTCGAGTATTCGAGTGTTTCTTTTGTTTTTGTTTTTTTTTATTTTCGATTATTTTTTATCATTATTATTGCGGAGAATTTATAAACCGAATAAGCCGTTGTAAACCAACAAAGACGTTTGTTTTTTTTATACTGTGTACGAAAATTCTACCGGAAATCTCGCTCCAAAGTGCCGAGTACAGGACCACATGTGAATGGGGATTTCCGCGCAGTGGTACTCTGCAGGGAGGTCAGTTTTTGATTTCCCAAGGTGTTTTCCCGACAAATGGTAAAAACGCGGTGAAAACCGGGAAAAAAATGGAAAAGTATACTGTACTATATAAGTAGCAATACTATTAAACGGACTCCGCTCAGAATCGGTTTTCGTTAGCAACGGTCAATCGTGGCGTACGGTTATGCATTCAATTTCCCGCCCGCCTTTCCGAGTTCTCACCTACAACAGCGGCCCATCCTTCGAGCGAAGTGTGTCGGTATTTTTTATTTTTATTACATATTCTTGATCTTCTATTGTGTTCGAAACGTTCGAACGATGTCCGACGGTATCGAAAATCGAAGTTTCAAAATCCGTTATCCGGATTCGCAACACGCTGTTGATATCGGATTTCGCATGTTCGACACGCGCGGATTTTTATCCGAAATCTATTTGTTCGTCGATAATGCACGCCACTTGGTTGGGTTCAGTACGGACATTCGATAAACACAATGTAACACCTCAATAACTAAGAGCGAAACAGACAGAAATAACGATCAGTTGCAAACGGACCCGTCTAACGTACCGGACGTTTCAACCTGGTCGAGCCATCATCGTTTAAACGAATCAAAATACGTTTTAACGGGGAGTAGTAGTCGTGGCTGTAGTCGACGTTCTATCGATCGGAGCGGAAAAAACCGCAATTTCGACGATACGATCGGTAAGCGCGTAAAAGAGCGCGTATCGTATGCGCGAGTATTGAAACAAACGGACGTCAGCGCGTATCGGGCCCAGTAGCTGGGGACGGCCGGTTCGGGTGTTCGGGCGTGTACGCGGCCGAAGCGTATCGGTTTAGTTTCATTCCCGTTTTCCGGGCGCCCGATACCCAAGTCGTTCAACAGACGCGTACGTTCGGCTCGGTATTCGAACGACGATGACCGCGGCCACCGGTTCCGGGCGCGCACGACGCGGGGCACGGGACTTGGACGGGGCGTTCCGAATAACCGGGCGAACCGGTGAAAAGAAATTCCAACGTCGGACGTTGACGGCTCGCGTCCGGCGCACACAGTTCCCGGCACCGAGTGCGGTCGCCTCGGAATTCGCGCGTGCGAACTTCGCGCGGAACGACGTCGGCGAAAATTGACTTTCCGTATAGTTACGTACGCACGGAGTGTTTAGACGCGTGTACGCGCACCGGTCGTTATGTTAATGCGATTTCCGTACGCTACACGCGGCGGCCGGGCGCCGCCACTCCCCGAAATCGAAAAATCCCGGACACGCCACCGGCCCAGGCGGGGGCGATTTCGTTTTGTTTTGCGTTTTTCGCGCGTGTATAATTATCGTTGTCCTGTTTACGCCTAAAAAAAAAAAAAAACGACCCCGTTCGGCCACTCGCGTTCGTGCGCGTAATGCCTGTTCTGATATTCTGATGTTGTTACGCACTCCTCCGTAATTATTACGCCGGGACCGTAAAAAAAAATAATAAGGTGCGTGAATAAAAACGCCGTAGCATTCAAACGTCGGTCGTTATAGTTTCATGAGTGTATATTATACGCGAGGAGTATAGCCGATCGATACAATATTTTTCTGGTTCTTCGGGGGCACGACGACGCGTCTGATAATATACAGAGGCGATTCGAAAACGTAAACTAAAAAAAAAAAAAAACACTTGTTTTTCAAAGTCAAGCACAATTCCACAACAGCACGCGTCTGGAAATTATAGAAACGTCGCGCGTGCATGACGAGGCATAACTTCGGAAACTTCGCAGTCGAACAACGGCCGGGGAGTTCGACTGCGGATAGGACCTATAATATAACGGAAGGACGTTACGCGTCCGTTCGAGTAATGTAAAAAATTAAACAACAAAATATTTATATTTGAAATATACTAAGTGTTTTATTAAGTATTTTAACAGTATTTTAAACTTGCAAAAAAAAAAAAAAAAACAACAACAACAGCAAAAACAAATAATATTTTCGTTTAATTTATGTTAATTTACATTCAGGATAAAAATTATATGAATAATTTTAAGCGCCGTGTTTTCTTATTTTTATAATAATGCGTTGTTTTTTGCTGTCGCGGGTAAAATTTCCGGGACAAAGTGGCGGTAATTGTTTCGTCGCGGAATTAGCTTCGGGATAAGAAACCGGACCCAGACGGTGGCTCATTAAAGCGGCCGTTCCACGAAAGCTTTTCATAAAACCGTAAAAGACCGTCAAAAACGGTAGCCGAATAAAAATAAAAAAAAAAAATTATGAAAACGTATCGATCCGAAAACACTTTAAATTCACCGTCATACACGTTTGAAAACGGTGCCGGATTGTGTGATATCACCAGTGTTATCGTGAAATACTGTGAAAACAGTGCATTGAACGCCTGCACTTCTAAGTTAAACGTGGTTTCAGAATGCATTTTCACCCGGTATAAATGTCAGTTTTCCGTTTATTATTCGACCGTTGAAATATTTTGAAAATTCACTAAACACGTCATCGCCCGGTTAAAGTCGCGTTTTCCGTTTCATTATAGGCCGTTTTACGTATAAATCGCACTCGTCTCGAGATATAAAAACTTTCAAAAACGCTCGCGCCGACACCGTCTTGCGAGAAGACTCTTACAGAAATCGACCGCATAAAAACATATACTTTCGTATTTACCTCTCGGACCGCTGTATGCGGCCGAATTAATCGCGCGCGAATAACTTTTTTACCCCGATAAATACAACAGGGCGACGTTTTAAACGTTTTGCCGGAGCATTGTTTTTTTTTTTTTTTTCAAAAACCTTTAAAACTGTTCGGTAAAAAAATATCGGAGAAGGCGACAAATGTCGATTTTTTTTATTTTTTTTTTTTTACTATCGACCGTCAGTGCAATAAACACAATGCCGGGGGCTCGGGTCGAACGGGACCGGTATCGCGTTCATTCGATTTCGGGAAATCGAGAACAAAACGCATTTTTGTCGGGGGCCTCTACCGATCGCGCCACAGTGATTTTTCGAACAACGCGCTGTCGGTTTTCCGCTCGCCCGTCCGTCCGGCGCCCCGGCGCCGCTCGTCGTCGCGGACCGTGAGCCGCTGGAACTATCGCGCGGCACTTTGTAATGTTACGCTCGCGCGTACATGGCGCGCCTCTCTTATTACCGCGCACCGGCGTACGAAATCGCGATTAACACGTGCCCCGATAACTTTGGCCTGATTGTGCTCGGGCCGTATAGGTACCGACGCCAACGATAATTGTATAGTTTCCGGATAACGCGCGCGATATTTTAATTAAATTCGAAATTGCCCGCGCATTATAACGGCTCGAGCGTGTAATACGAGATTACACGGCGCGCGCACAATGTAACTGTGTATAATATTCATAACCGACGGCGGCGGCGGCGGCGCAATAATGTAATACTGTAATTAAAATTAATTTGACTGTACTCCGCGTATAGCGTGTCTTTTTTTTTTTTTTTTTATTTATCTCCCCCCCCCCTCCCCCAACCACCCACGACGCGATTCGCGTAACAAAACGGCTTCGCGATAATTAAAAAATTTCGATCGAGCGCGTTACGGATCAATACTTCCCCGAGAGTGCCGAGAGTGCGCCTCGACCTCCAGATACTTCACACCCCCCGAACGGTGCCGGTACTCCGCGTATAGCGTGTCTTTTTTTTTTTTTTTTTTTTTATCCGTGCGCGAATTTTCCAACGGGAAATCCAAAAGGGAATCGGACCGGGGAGGTACTTTGAAGCCGGCCGTTTTTCGATTTCATCCAGAGTTTTCCCGGAAAACGCGGATAACCCGAAACGACGGAGAAAACAAACGGGAATATTGAAATATCCAATCCGATCTATCGACCCCTATCAACGTTAATAATCCGCGAGTAAAACGTTTGTAACCCGCGGCGAGTTCGTGGGCGTTTCGTCCGGAGGACGCCGCGGAAAGCGTCCGAAAGTATAGCGAGCAAACGATACGTACGTCTGCGTGAATATATTGTTAACGTAACGCGGACGTGCGAAATTCAGCGATTCTCGGAGAAAACTCGATGCGGGGAAATCATAATGATAAACGGTAATGGGTTCGACGAGGCGCGCAGTGCATACTGCCGGTATCCGTTTCGCTCGCTCGGTTTTTTTTACATATTTTCCACGCCCGGCGTTCGTACTCTTCGGCTTCTTAATGGAAACGCGACGAAAAGCTTTTTAACCGGATACAGTAGTCGCAGCACGACAGACGCTGTCACGGGGCGTTCGCGCCGCGGCAGATTCGCAATCCAATCGGCACGCGTTACGGCCGATGACGCGACGTCATGCGTGCGGTTTTTTTTACATTTTCGCGGGCGTGCGACTTGCCGAACGTGCGGTTTTTACTCGTGGTGGCGGCGGGAATAAAAAAAAAAAACCCGCCGAGTGGCCCGACAGACGTTGCGCGCGTAGGACGTACTAACAATACGGGGCGTCCGACGCGCCGGGGTTTAAATTCCGTACACGGTCGACATTTCACCGACCCGATCGCCGTCGCAATAGTATAACGGCCCCGACGGAAATGTCTATGTCGCGGCCGCTTCGCGGGAACGAACCTATTCGCGGAGAGCCGTCCGTTTCGTGAAAACCGAACGCGGTTTTCACTCTTCGGGTGTCGACGACGCGAGCACGATTTTCCGCGAGACGGCCGCTGTCGGATTCGACGTGGTTTTCGCGACGTGGTCGACCGCCCGCGCTCGTCCCGGATGCGGCGCGGAACGCGATATAGCCGTCGCCGCTGCGATATTCCTCGTTTCACTCGCGCGAATAAAATGCCGAACAAATTACTTCGTTCGCGTTAAAAAAAAATAACACCGAATACAAGCGACGATTCGATGGTATTCGAGCACGGTAAATGTGTTTTTATTTCCGGACGCAAAATGGTCGAACTCATCGCGAACGGAATCGCGCCATGTCGGTTTCGAGCGACGTTTTCGTGAAAAAGTGCCCGTATGTGAAAAAGGCGTTTCCTTTTCACGAAATACACAACTTTTCGCTCACACATCACTGGCGGGGTTACACGGGACGCGGGCTTTGGCGGCCGAAACTCCCCCGCCCTTAGCGTGTGTGTGTGTGTGTGTGTGAATGATAAAATGTTACGACACGTTAAATTAAAAACGCGTTTACAACGTTGTGCGAATCGTGCGTTGTTTTTTCCATCCCCCTCCCCTTAACTGTTTTCCGAACACACCTCGGCGTTCGGTGTCGAAAACGGCACTCGTCTACGTCTCCTCGTATTTTTTGACGAATCGTACGTATTACGTTTTTCGCGGTGGATTACAAGCGGCCGCATTGTGTTTCGACGGGTGTTATTGTACCCGCGTATTTTATTTTATTTTTTTGCCAAACAAAATTTGAATATTCGCATTGTACCTACAATGTTGTATTACTACGTCGTGGCGGTGAATTACGGCAGTCAACAAGCACTTTGTCAACGCGAAACGAGAAAATATCCGTCGAAAATGTTTACATTCTACACCGTGCGTATAGCGTGTCCGCCCACGTGGAAATTTGTTTTTATAGGTCACAAGGTTGCGAGTTTTTTTCCCCTATACGTCCGCGGTCAAACTGAATTCCGCCGAAATAAATATTCAAATATTCCACGTTTTCCTCGAACAAACGCGAATAACAATGTTTTTTTTTTTTTTTTTTTTTAATGAAGGACCGTCGTACATAATTCAATAATTCAATATTTACGGGCATGAGATGATCGCAGCCAAACCTTTTAATATATTGTTATTGTGTTTTGTACACAATGGTGGTTTTTTTTTTTTTTTTAATATTCTATACTGATAAAAAAAATATGGGTATTCCCGTGATATCATGGCCCGCTATACATAATATAAGTATAGTGCGTATGATATTGCAGGTTAGGTTATATTACGGGTATATATGTAAAATATAACCGCGACCGCAAAATAATTTACTAAAGTACAAAATAAATAAGAAATATCGATTAAATACGTTATAATATTTTAATATTATAACGATGTTGACTCTTCGTTTCCCCCGCACCCTCGCCACCTCTTTTGTCATTTTTTTGGACGTTTTAAATACATCAATATCATTCATTTACGAAATGCCGTCAAGGAACACGCGCGTATTATAATATAAATATTAAAATAATTTAATAGCTTTACGGTTCGAAAGTGAATAATAATAAAAAAAAAAAAAATCCTTTATTCGAGTAAAACGTCGCATTCGGTCTACGCGAAATAATATTCTACAACCAACCTAATATAAAACTTTCAACGGAAGATCGATAATTTATTTCTTACTGACATGGATCGGCAGTAATCAGTTACACAATATTCGAGTAAATTTTAAATGTAACGGGTTGCAATTTGTTTCGTGACTTGTTACAATAGATACACGTAACTTAAGTCATCTTGTTTCATTATTTTGTGTGACACTAACCTGCCTATATTATTTAAATTTCTGATAAGAACGGAACAATACGCGCCAAATCACTTATCACTCTCTGGTTATGTCATCAATAATAATTATAATACTTATAGCATATTAGCTTTAACTTTGTAAATATTGACCTGTTGTATAATCGTATAAATGAATTGAATTTTTTTATCGACTGAATACAATATTATTATTATTTTTAAAAAAATTAAATAAATTATATGTAATCTATAATGTAACATTAACTGTAACTCGTAATCAGTCACCCAAAATTAGAATAACATGTAACTAGTATCCAGTTACACTATGCACTGTAACTTGCCCATTCCTGCTCATTGTTAATTTGTACACCAGGATATGTTTACGAATTGTGTCGAGACGATCAATCGAAATGCGTATTATATAATGGTTTTTTTACGTCTCATATGATTTGATTTCTAATACCTACCAAAACATATAGCATATTTCCCAAAGGAATACAGAAAAGCTTTATTATTATAGAAGTTTTCCCTTGTTCTCGAACGTATCTAACTCCGCTCACACCCCTCCCCCACCCCCGAAAGATCAAAGTATAACAATAACCGTTGCTTAAATTTCCCCGCGTCGTTGTCATCATGATAAAAATGTCCGTAAGGTTTTCGTTTGAACAATTTAAATACCATAGAAAAAAAATTGTATAATTCAAATGCTTCAACGCTGACATAAACGGTCCGGTTAAGGCAGTAGCCCGCAGCCCCTTTGATTTATCGTTTGACTCGTTTGTATTATAAACGCGAGTGTGCGTAAACTGCCTAAAGGAAGTTCTAAAACGGTAAAATAACACGGATATTATTATTATTATTTTAAACTAATATTTTACATAACAATGTAATATTATTTTCGCTTACACGATTTCTGTCGTCTCCCGTTTCTCTATTGTATAAGCGAACAAAAAAAAAAATTAAAAAAAAAAAAAAAAAACGTTTTTCGTACTTCAAAGAAAAATAATATAATTTTATTTCGATATTATATTTTATAGGTAGGTAGGTAGGTGGGTAGGTACTCGTCAACGGCGAACGCAAATATTTATCCTGAACTTTGATTCTTGATTAAGCTGATGCTGCGCAAATATTCATTATGCCTCCGTGGACTGTTTTCAGAAAAAAAAAAAATACATAAAGAAATTTGAATCCAACGCTATTATTACGTTCGACTCCGACTACCACGGCAAATAATAATATTATTATACCTAATGTTTATCACTTCGAAAGAATAATGGGCCCCGCCGAACAGATCCGTGTGGGGGCCCAATAATATTGAGCAATAGTTACTGAAATAACGTCAAAATCCCGTCATCATTATCGAAATAACGATTTTTCTTACATGACACACGTGTGCGACGTATATTTATGGGGGACACGGACCTCGACGCTTATACGGGGTCGATATCTTGTTAAGAGAAAAATAAAAATAAATACTCGAGCGAGGGTCAACCTGACCTAACCTGGTTTTCTTCTTGTAATCGGCTGTGTATTTCGGGCGTCGGTTGGTCAAATAATAATAATAACAGTTGTTATTTCTGTGTACAGATCTACGGGGAGCTATATCTCAGGTAACGCGTCAGTGAACGAGAATAAACTAAATATCTTTGAGAGACCGGACTTAAGGGAAATTTACGAGCTTGTCTATAATCCCGAAGACATCGTAGTGCGGAGAGAGAGTAGGAGTGGAAATAAGCGGCCGGAGCTATTATTACGGAGAAGTAATTATTGTTAAACTATTGTGAAAGGTATGGGGACGGAGTGGTCCGACGGAGAGCAGGAAATTAGTACGGCGAAAACGGTACTCACGCAAAGGCAACATAAATAATAAATAAAAACAATTTTTCGCGCGATTGGACGTGATTAAGACGGACATCCGAATACCGTGGATTGTGGGCGGCGAAAATGGCCAGAAACCCGAAACCGTAAACCTGGACGGTCCGCAGTGCTTGAAAAAGAAAAACTACCGTTATTGCGCAGCGATGCATTCGGTATACGATAGAAAATGTTCTGCCGTATTTCCTACGTTTTTTCACAGGTTTTTCGCAATTATTAGGAAAACTGTATAAAATAATTCGAGCAACGGCTATGTTAATCACAAACTAGACAAAATTTCCTTTAAGAAAATACGCTATTTTTGAAATTTAACGAACATTAATAATTACAGGAGTGTTGCACGGGAGTTGGTTTTGTAAACGGTAGGGCGCACGCGGTCTACACGAATTTTTAAAACGGGCACGACCGTGTTCGACCGGAATCGTACCCTTCCCCTTTTGGCCGAACCGAAAATATACAGGCGAGAATGATTGCCAGCGAGAAAGTTATAATCTATAGGTATAATAATACAATATAAGAAAATACATACATCTGTTTTCAGCAGAACACGTTAGGTTCCTATTCGTTTACAAAAAACCTTCGGCGTTCGCTAGACGGTAAGACGAGTTTCGGTTGAGCGCGAATATACTTGTATAGCCGGTACCAGAATGATAAACATCAACGGGTTTTCGTGACCTTATCGCAGTTTCATAACCGTTGATTGCAATTGTTTGAGACTATACCCACGTTAACATAGACGTACGGTTAATTGCGTCTGTTTTATATTGTGTACAAATTAAATTTTCGTTTTGAATGTTTTATACTTTTCAATATGTATGACACGGTCGGTAACTCATTGTAGTGGTTTGGCGCCGGAGTGAATCGGCTGAAAATAAAATCGGCCGAAAGTACCGTGGTCGCGGTACGATTTTGGTCGAAAACGGTCTCGCCCCTCAAAACACGGTTCGGCGCCACCGTACATGTTCGCTTAAGTGATTGTTTTTAAATTAGAAATTACTAAAAAAAAAAAAAAAAAATAGAAAATAGAAAATAATAACGATAATGACAAACCGTGCGGTTTCTATAAAATCGGTTTTCGAGGGGATTTTCATGCGACGTAGGTGCGCGACGCGATAATATATCAACGGTAATGATTATAATTGCCGTGTTACGCGAGGTAGTCGGCGGCGCACGGAATTGCGGTGTTTAAAACGTTATACTGTGCGGCCAACAGGGTCGTCGGTCGATGATCCTTGACCAGAAAAAATAATAAAAAATAATAATAATAATTTTCAGGAAACAATTAAATCTATTTTCGGAAACATGAACACGGCACAATATCGCACGTGGGTACGGCGCCGTGCGCACCGCCAGTAATTTATTGTTGTACGCGACCGACGGAATAGAACGTAAAATACGGCGGCAAATTATTTAGTACCGCGGATTCAACGTGTCGCGACGACACCGGTACCGTCGCCGAACATCGGCGTCGGGGTTTATCGCGGCAACAAACCCGCGAAACGTCTTCTTCGACACAGCGTTTTTTTTTTTTTAATCGAGCGTTATATACCGAAGTAATGAAATTCAATTCCATCACAAACAATTCGTCCGATCATAAAATACGCGTAAACCCCGTCCCGAAAATAAAAATCCCGCGGGCGCCACCGCTAAACGTGCAACGGTATGCTACCGTTCGTCCTAATATCGTCCGAAAACAATCGAACAGATATTGCCGATAAAAGTCCCGTAAAAAATATTGTATACGCAATATGTAATAACGTGTCCAAGAGGTAGCTGCCTCGTGTTCTTTTGCAATACGTTTTGGAAAAAAATAAAAACGCGGTACGCGTTGCACTGTGCGTCCGTTTCGCCTCTTTGAAAAACGCCTAAAAAAATGGTCGGCGGCACAATTCTAGGGGCGGCCGAGGGGCTGACGCCGTATTCGGCTGTTTTCGAACCGATCGATGCAAAAACGCGAGCCGACCGAAATAGTCGGGGAATGAAATTTTATAGTCGAAACGCATTTAATACAGAGCGTGCGTGCTGGTGTCACTGACACGACGCTAACGCGAGCATGTGCGCGTCGGTTCGATCTAAATCGTATGTTGTTTAATATTGTAAATGGGTTTCGACGGGCGCCCATATAACATTATCGGGGCCGTAGATTATATATGGGCGTTGAGAGGGGGGGGGGGGGGGGGGGGGGTATGG